AAGTTTAACTTTATTTATGTATTTGTTTTTAGAGAAGTCTCTTTTAACTCTTATAAACTTGTTTAATTTTTATTTTATTTTAGAAATATAAATTTTAATTTAATTTTTACGATGAAAAAGCTTTGAAAAAATTGCTGAGATTGCAAAATTTATTACTCAAAGTACATAAAATTTGTTTGGGAGTTTAGATGCAACATATCTTTAGCAGAGCCAATTATTCTTCAGTTATGTAGAACTTATCTTCAACAATATGTAAAATGAAATAATTTTGCCCTTAATTAATAGAATATTTTAACTTAGTGCTAAAAAACATATAATCACCGTCATTATGCAAAGCCACAAAGCATAATGTGATTATATGTTTTCTATAACGTTTTATTTTTACGCCCTTCGTTCATTGGACGAAAATCTAGATAACTGGCTTAAATGGCAAGACAATGATGTGTAATAAAAAAAAATACTAAATTTTGCATACTTGCTCTAGTATATTCTCTCTTAAGTATTCTTCTGATTTTTTTTCAGTTTTGATACTGGATACACCAAAAAATATTTTAGAGTGTTAGACATATCTAAAAAAATACATTCAAGTACTAGATAAAACAAACAATACTTTAAGGTGTTGGGTGTATTTTCAAAAATATTTTAAAATAGTAGATGTATCTGAAAAAATACTTAATTGAATTGAGTAGCTAGAATACGGAACTTTTCAAGTTTTTAACTTTTTATACAGCTCATGATCAGATCTCATTAACTAAAGTTTCCTTCTTTTTTTTGGGTCAAAAACTAAAGTTTCCTTTTACAATTCCACCACCTAGTTGTCATCTCATACCATGTTTGGGTTGGGCCAAAAAAATTAATAATAATAATAATAATAATATAATCCCGTACCTTGTTTTTAAAAAAAATTCTGAGCATTTGATTAAAGTATTTCTAATTCTAGACCACGAACAATTAAAAATTAATATAATTTCTCATATTTGTTATATCGTAAGATGTAAGTATTACATTGAAAAGTTCTAAGTTGTCATTCTTAAAATGCTTCTGTTTTATTATTTAAAAAACTCTGTTCATATGCTTTTAATTTTTAAATTTTATAATGAATTCAAATTTGGTTCTCTTAACAAAGGTCTTATATTTGTTTTCCAATTTTTAAAATGTTGATACTCAAATCATCTGGTCATTCTAATATCTATCTCTAAACAGCCTATTTGTTTACGAAATAAGTAATTTTTAGATAGTTTGAAAGTTTTACAAAAAGTTATGAGTTAATACAATTTTTAATTCCTTAGATTTACTATTATTTTGATTTTGGTCCTTTAAGTCATTTTTCATTTAAAACATTGATCCTATAATTCAATAAACAATTAGATCATTTTGTTTCTTAAGGGACTAAAACCAAAATAAATGTAAATTTGGAGGACCAAAAATTATATTAACCAAAAAGTTACCCACAACATTATTTTTCATTTATGATTAGAGAATGTTTCAATAAAGGCCCACAGTAGAAACTTAGTATTAGTCAACCCCTTAAAAGATTTTAAAATTTCAACCCACCCCTTGGATCAAAATGAAATTGAAATTTCAAGATGAAAATACAGTAATACCCCTCTTTTTTATTTTTTTTAAATAAATATTAATTTTACTGGAGCCCTGGCCTTTGGTGCCATGAGTCATCAGCAATAAAAAAAATTTATAATGTCCTACTTTTTCTATGTTACTGACAATTAGTAATTTGTATTCTTCACGTTGATTTTGGGTTAAGCTAATGTGAAAATAAACAATTTTCATGTTAATTGACCGTGATGCAAAAAATTGCTGTGAGGAAATTGGGAAAAAAAATTGTCTAAATTTTATTTTCTTTGTTTGTTTTTTTTTTTACCAGCAAATTTTCTGTATTTGTTTTGTGATTATAACAAACATAGAATGGATATAGAATTGTTACTTTGTACACCAAGTAATTATAATGTAGCTGGCAAAAAAAACAATTTAATTCTTAATGCATGATCTAATTAACTAAATTAAATAGATTAAAAATATTAATTAAATTAGTTAATTATAAATGCTAAACAAGATAGTTGCTTCTAGTCATAAATATCTTAATCTATTTTATCTTTTAAATTTATAATTTTTTTAAAATATTGTTATTGATTATACGTACATAGTAAGCGAATTTCTATCAAGAGTAACTTTTTTTTTTTTTTGCCAACATTCTATTAAGAGTAATTGTGCCTTATAAATATATGATTAGAAAGGGATTCCATAAAAGTAACTAACTTAACTTTTTTTAAATAAAAAACAATTTTACTACTAACTAAATAAAACAAGAGATATACACTGTTACGAAAAATGAGAAAAGTACCAAGATTGAGATGAGGGAGATAGGGAAAATAATAGGAAATTAGAGGAGAAATTAAAGAGGAGTTCTCATTCACTTTATTATCTCAAATGTGTGTACATCATCTCCTATTTATAGAATCACAATATTGAAAACCAACCTAAAGAGTTACAAGTACATAAAGAAGGGAATTAACCAACATAATTGTACAATTAGGGGTTATAGGAAATAAATACTAGAAACTATTCAATTTGAGAGTTATAAGGTATAATGCTATTAACCATGAGAAGAAATCCCAACGTGCTAAGGAGTTATGAATATCTACACAACATAATATTTATAACACTCCTCCTTGGATGTTCATGAACAAATATTGTGCATCATTAAAACCTTACAAGGAAAACTCCAGCAGGACAAAAACCCAGTGAAAGAAAAAGAGTACATAATATACATTGAACTTATCTCATTAAAAACCTTCACGGAAAAACTCTGTGGGGCAAAATCTTGGTTAAGGAAAAGAGTGTAGCATGGTCTTTACTACCCTAATGATAATGTCACTTTTACTCTCCCTGATAATATTACTTTTTCTCAAGTGGATTATTTCTAATCCTTTTCACATTATATATTTCTTTTAATCGACCAAAATATGATGCATTGCCATATTAAGTTTAAATATATTCCCCCAACATATCTCCTGGATATGCTGGGTTATCAATATACACTCTACTTGTCTTATACATTGTGAAAATAACAACAGAAAAGTTATTATGAAAATCATTAGGATATATCTTGCATCTACATGTTTAATTGGTTTGAACACAATAATCTCATATAATAGTTTTATAGTACTACAATATTAAATATAAATTCTATTATTCACTTGTATACATGCTGGAACTTAATAATAAACAAAATCTTAATCAAAATCCATAACAAAAAATATATATTTTTGCGTACAAAATATATATTATTATAGAGTGAATAGATAGGACCATTAGTCCATTAAATTTAATATATTTTTGCAGTCAAAATTACCACAACAAAAATCCATCATTTTGTAACCATTGAAATATTCAATAACTTGATCTATAAGTCAAGTAAAATGTAAAATTATTTATTTTTCAATACTTTTTTCTGAATCAAATATATACACTCATGTTATTTTCTGGTATTTTTGAGTCCTTCATATGTTTTCATATAAATTTCACTATTTAGTGAGTCATATGCAAAGACTATAATAATATCTTATAGCCGCATATTTTATTTATACTACCAGACTAATAATGTATGCAAAATTTATTTATCCACCAAAAATTAATATGCCTTATCATAATCTTCATTAGACCTTTGTGAAAATCTTTATTTTTCACATAAATATTTATATATCACATAATAACTTTATATTTCATGTGTTTGGACTACAGGTCCTCAGTTTTCACATATTGAAATAATATTTCCATTGCATCTTTTTCTTTTTCTTTTTTCTTTGGCCAAATTTCTATCTACTTTGTATAACATATCTACATATAGGATCCTCATTTTAATCATGTGATCTCATCATAAAAAATGTTGTCAACAACTTTATCTTTTCAGTTTTATTTTTCTCTTGTAACATAACTTATTAAAATCTTTTTATTACTCTTTAGGGGCCTGAACCTATTCTGGGATTTTTTTTTTTAATTAGTCATGTCTTAGCACCCTTCTAGAATACATGCCTCCTTAATATAACTTTTAAATTTCATGCTCCTTTTTATCTGATATAATTATATTAGAACCGATTAATCTCTCATGCTTCAGGCAAGTTTCATTTTTATTTATACTAATTAGAACATTTTCAGCTGGAATATGAGATTTAATAATACTCATTTAGGTCAGTAATAGCATCTGATAGATATTTTGTAATATCTTATAAATGCATTCTTTGATGAACTTTTAGTTCATACTACCATATATTTGATAATCCACACTTGATAATAAGAATGCATTTTGTATGTTATCTTTTCCAACTACTCAATTTCTCCCCCTCATGATGGGAAAATTTTGTCGAATGACAATCAATTAATTATGCAGTATAAGTCTATTAAATCTATTTGTTTCATTTTTCATTTCATTTAGAGATCAGAAGGAAGTTCTTACTCAACATATATCCCAACTTTATTTAAATATCTATTTATGTGCATTGTGGTGGCTGATAGTAATAAATATTGCACATTTAAACTTCTAAGATAGAAATATTTGGCTAATGACAAAAACCAATTTTATTGGGAGAATTTGTTGGCTTGATATGTATAAGTGTTATAAAATATCAAACCAAATATGCCAACACATAAATGAAAAATCTTGTTCTCAAAAGTATTGATCTAACTACTCCTAGAGGCTTTAATAAATTATTCTGCTTGATCATTCTATTAAGCAGCCTTTTCAATAATTTTCCAAGGAACAAAAAATCGGACCAGAGACTAAACCGGTCGAGACAGTGGGTCAAGGGTCACTGGTTGGACCGGGGTCGGACCGGTCATATTAAAATAATATAATTTAATTTATAACATTAAAATAGAACAAAATTTATAAATAATAATTAGTTGAAAAAAGATAAAAAATTACAAAAGTAGTTTAAATATTTCATTGTACCAAGCAAACATTAATAAACTACATATCTTCATCGCTATGGAAAATCAAAATCATCATTAAGGTCATTGGCAATGGCATGGACCAAGACATCAACAGTTGGACAAGGAACAATAGGAGTGACAACATCATCATGCAAAGGTGGAGGATCAGCAATATCCATATCTTCATCACCTATGTAAGACAATAAGCAATATTAATGATTATGCAAATAATTATATTCATCTAAGAATAGAGTGTTAATTATATATATAAACCTTCGTTATCCCTCTCAAGAGTTGTTGAATTTGCAATGCTTTCATTGTTAATGACACTTTCAAGTGTAGCCACATCTCTATCATCAAACTCTGGAGTGGGATCTTCTTCAGCCACCCAAAAGTCCACCATGTCAATATTTTCATAGTCAATTGGATCATAACTTTTCTTCTTTTTCAATGTACTCCTTTAATGACAAGTAAAACTTCAATTAAACATAAATCAATTAAAATAAAAGACTAAAAGTATTCATTATTTTCAAGATTACCTATGCTTCAACCGCAGATTGTAGTTTGTGAACACCAAATCATTTAACCTCTTATGTTCCAATCTGTTTCTTCTTTTTGTGTGAATTCTTTCAAACAAACTCCAATTCCTCTCACAACCAGAAGAAGCAGAAGTTTGACTAAGAATACGCATTGCAACACGCTGCAATTCTGGAATTGAACAACCATAATATGTCCACCATTCATCTACATAATAAAATACATTTAGTATACAATAGTATAAGAATTAGTAAATAACTATGAATATACTATAAAGTATTAACACTTACAAGGGTCTAATTTTTGTGCAGCTTTTTGACATGAGGGTCTACTAAAAGATTCCTTGCTTTCACGATAAGTAGTTGCTTGTTTCATTACCAGAAAGCCATCAACATCTTCATTTGAGTAAGACTCCACCACATCAATCAACGCCATCATTAACTTTGACTTACTAGGACAGTCTGGATCATATGTGATTGCAGGATTCAACAAATATGATGCTGCATGAAGATTAGTCTTCAAATGCCTGTCCCATCGAGCTTGAATGATGCTTGTGTAGGGCTTATACAACTCCTTGTTCCTTTTAAACATCTCTTTAATCGCCACTTTTGCCCTTCGCATGCCTTCATGAACATAAGGCAATGAAGGCTTCTCATCTGAATCCACAATTCTCAACAACTTTATGAGAGGCGACACAATCTTCACAACTTGATAACAATCATTCCAAAACCGATTATCTAATATGAGGGCACTAAAAATTTTTCCTGCCTCAGTCTTGGATAATTTGTGATCCACAAAATGCTTATCAACAACTAGAGCTTGCAAGTCATTTTTGTGCATATATATACTATGCAACGTAATAAATGTAGTAGCAAATCTTGTGGCACCAGGACGTACAATTTCTTTCCAACTCGGTCTTTTCCTCAACCATGAGAGGAAAACCATATGGTTGTATGCAAAAATTGTTATCTTTGAGGCTTTTGATCAAGGAACAAAAAACCGGACCGGATATTAAACCGGTTGAGACAGTGGGTCAAGGGTTACTGGTCGAACCGAGGTTGAACTGGGGTCGGACCGGTCATATTAAAATAATATAATTTAATTCATAATATTAAAATAAAACAAAATTCATGAATAATAATCACTAAAAAAAATATAAGAAGCAACAAAAATAGTTTAAATATTTAATAGTAATAAGCAAACATTCATAATTTGAACTCTTCTTATGCGATTTGAATTTAAACTCGCAGATAACTATCTGTTGGGAATAGAAATGAAAAGGGAAAAAGGCAAAAGTGATCAATACGTGGAAGAATTGCACATAGAGACAGGATAAGCACCACTCTGTCAAATCTCTACAATGCTTGGTGTTTCGCAATTCTCAGAGGCGTTGAAACTTCCTTCCCTCCCTCTCTCTCTCTCTCTCTCTCTCTCACCAACCTACCTTCCCCATTCCAAATCATTCATGCTCGCTCTAGTTTCCTCAACTTCTTGTTCGCAATTTTTTTATTATTTTTTATTCCATTAATGTCCTTCCTCCTTCAATCTCCATGTTTCTCTGTGCATAGAAGGAAACAGAGTTGAGCTGTGATTTTTTTTTCTTTTTTTGTTCAATTTGCTGTTGAAATCACCAGAGGAGGGAGAAAATTTGTTCTCCTGAATGGCCGGCCAGAAATCCTACACATGAGAACATTTAGGTTTATGTACATTGTGACCTTCAATGTTCGTTGCAGGGATTTCTGGTCAAGGTTTTAGCATTTTTGAGGAGGCGATTTGGTTTTACTGTTTTAGGGAGGGAGGCGAGGCGCGAGCTGGAGGAACGAGGAGTCAGATTCACGGGAGGGTTTTTTTTTTTTTAACTCAACAACGTCGTTTTTGCGGTTTTGCCAGACAAAAACAAAAGAACCGACCAACCGGCTTTGCCCGGTTCTACACTGGTTTAACCGGTTCAACCAGTTTTTTACCGGTTTGTTTAGCTCCCGGTCCATTTATCGAACCAGATCGGACTGCAGACCGGTTCACCGGTTTTCCGGTCGAACCGGCCGGTCCGGTCCGGTTTTTTTTTCCTTGCTTTTGATGCAAGGTCTGACACATGAGGCATGCTGGAAAAGTCTTTCAATACAAGATTCAAACAATGAGCAGCACAAGGCGACCAATAAATATTTTTATACTTTTCCTTAATCAGCCTACCACATGCTACATAATTGGCTGCATTGTCAGTCACTACATAGACAATGTTCTTAGGACCAACCCACTCAATGACTTCACAGAATAGAGTAAATAGAGTTTTGGCATCTTTGACTAAATCTGATGCATCAACAGACTTCACAAACACCATACCATGTGTAGAATACACCAAAAAGTTTATCAAAGTCCGTTGTCTAATGTCAGTCCATCCATCAGCCATGAGTGTGCAACCGTTGTTTTTCCATTTAGCTCGATGGCTCTCAATGAGTAACTGACATTCTTTTCTCCAATCACTCAATAAATTAGTTTTGAAATCATAAGCACTAGGAGCTTTAAACCCAGGCCCAATTGAAGCAATACCATCCACAGCTTTTTGAAATAAAGGGCAATCAAATGCCTTGAATGGAATACAGTTTACAATGGCCCATTCAGCAATCAACATTTTCACATTGTGTTTTGCTTCTTTAGTTGCTAATGCACTTTTAATGCCTGGTTGGGAATCAGGAGCTGTCCTAGGAGCAAAGTAATTGTCCAAACTCCCAGGAGCTCTCCTCTTCGTCCCACTACTCATAGTAATTGGAGAATCAACGTGGGTTTCTTCTAGGTCCTCATCTATGTTTTCAACAGCCTTTTTCTTTGAACATTCTTTCAAAGACTCTATCATTCTATGACACACATCATGTGAAACTTTTTTGCATGAAGCTATTTGACCAGTAACACCAGCAAGATGTTGTTTCATTCTGTTTATCCCACCTCCTCTATAATTATTACCACAAAAAAGACATGTATATATAGTTTGTGTCCCCTCTTTTTTGTAGGCAACATGTGCCCATGCAGGATCAGATTTACCACGCAATGAAGAAGTCAGGGTGGGAGAAGAGGTTTCGTTATTAGGAGTGGAAGATTGAGTGACATTTTCATTTCCAGAACTTTGATTGTTTGGAATATCCATAACTGCTATTAAATAACAAATCAAAAATTAATAAAAATGATCAAACACAAACAATAGAGCCACAAGCTTCAGCCTTTCAGGAACCACTTCAAAACACAAATTTGGAATATGCAATGAAAGGCAGAACTAGAATTAGGAACACAAGTACACAACATCAATATTCAGTTAAAGGCAGAACCAGAATATCAACCAACACAACATCATTATTCAGTGAAACGCACAACCAGAATTAGGATCAGTCCACAATATTTCCAATCATCATATTAATCCATAGAATGGCAGAAGCAAAACTACCGGTCGGTCCACAACATTAAGATCAGCCAACATGCCAAAATACTTCTAACATTGTTTATTTGTTCTAATTTCACTTCTGTTCAGCAGAGCAATCAGTGAATAAAATCAATTAATGAATAGTTAAGTACCGGTATTTAATCGGAGGCAGCGGCGCAGAGCAACCCGTGACCACCAAACTCAACGAGCAGAGGCGCAGAGCAACCCACCGGCACCGCTTCTCCACTCTCCACGGCAAATCAACGGCGCAGGGACACCGGTCGACCACTCAATGAGCAGAATATGCCGAATACGGACACCGATCGACCACCAAACTCAACGAGCAGAGCAACCCACCGGCACCGCTTCTCCACTCTTCACGGCAAATCGGCGGCGCAGGGACATCGGTCGACCACCGAACCAATCTCAACGAAGAAGGAAATGCCGAATACGGACCCTAGACCACCGCGCCTCCACCTCCACCACAAGTCGACCAACCCACCGGCACCGCTGTCTCCACTCTCCACGGCAAGTCGACGGCGCTGCAAGGGAGAATGGCCAGACGCTCAAACTCAGATACTCAGCGAAATGATGGACGATGGGAATGGGGGAAGGGATCTGCGATGTGCGATTTGCTCACAGAGCCAGGACGAAGGAGGGAATGGGGGAAGGGAACCGGGCATTCGACCGATCGGTTGAGTACTTGAGTGTAGGATCGAAGTTTTTTTTTTTTAATATGATACGACGTCGTTTTGGGCAGTTTGAGGGGAAAAATATATAACCAGTCAACCCCCCAAACCGGGCGGTTGACCTGTTTACGACCGGTTTATTACCGGTTCACTTGGTGACCGGTTTTCTTGTTAAACCAGACCGGACTTTGGACCGGTTCACCGGTTCACCGGTTGAACCGGCCGGTCCGGTCCGGTTTTTTTTTCATTGTAATTTTCTAATAAATATATGATAATCATTCAAAAGTTAAGTTATAATCCTACTAATGTTTCCAATAGAAATTTTCTTGATCGCATTTTTCTGGAAATGTGAACTCAACATATATAATGATTTATTTAATTAGTCTCGTAAATATCAGGTTGCAACCTAATAATAACACATGTAACTATCTTATAGATACATTTATCAAATTTATTGAATACTTATATGGTTTACATGCTATTTGTATGGGCCCATATATCTTTATTTGATATATTTTTCAGAAATGTAGAGGTTCATTCCACATCATAACTAATGATATCAACATAATCAATTTTGAAACTATATGAACTCTTGAATCATATAATATGTTGTCTATTCATGAGGAATCTTCTAGTTCTTCAATGTATGTCAATAATAATCACCAATGATTTGTTACATCATATATATGATTCATGATGATAAAACAAGACACATCAACTATAAATCTAATTGGATAAGTAAACTTCTGATTTACTGTAACAAGTTTCTTATATAAGTAAAATTCTATCTAACTTCAACTCACACTAGTATTAATTCAATTGGGCTATTACTTTTTAGACCTTTTGGAGAATTAAAGTTTTGATGTAAATCAATGGGTTATATTTTTCACTATCAATTCTTAGTCTGTCCATAAAAAATTTGTATTAGTTCTTCAGAAACTATATTAATATTTTTTACACATAGTTCTTCAGGAATTATTTGATTTGAGAAGAATGAGGAGACAAATTCATCTTAATACCATTGTAATACATAATAATGAATAGTTATAAATATCATAAATTTAACTTGCAATGTAAACAGAGTTTACACATGCTATAAAAAATGATTTTGTCTAACAAATCAAGATCAATATCAACTATTTATAATAAATTTTTTCATAAAATTAAATAACTTTCTATTCTTTCAATTCAAATGCGACATAAATATATAATGTTTATTTTTCCTTCAAATGTTGTAGTAAGAATAATTTAATTTGAATATACAAAACCAATTATTCATCATTTAAAAAAAATTAAGGATTAACATACCTATTAACGTTAGAATAGAGAAATATAAATATTTAATTTTTTATTATGTTATTTCAAAATGTTCAAAACTCTAAATGATATTTGAACTAATCCAACATCCATAAAATTTTCTTAAAATTATAATTATCATTTGCACATGCTTAATTTTTTTCATAAGCAAACTCATATAATTGAAAAGAACATAAAATGTAAATGATCTTTTAAAATAAATTTTTTGAGAATAAAGTGTAAAATTGAATGTATTGTTCAAAATTTTTCAACAATAATCAAGATATCATACACCATTTATTTAATTTGCAATACTCAAAATATGTCATTTGGAAAAACACTTGCATGTTATATGAATTCTTAATTTTTCTTTCTCAACTAATTTCTTATTTAGTCAAACTTAAAATAACTTCAAATGCTTATAATAAAATGTATTGTGAAACTATAATAAATCATTCAAACTAAGATCATACGAATAGTATATAAATGAACAAAATATGAATAATATACCATGTCTTTAATTTACACATAAGTAGCACAATAAAATATCAATATCATAGTATGACCATTTTTTAGGCTATTCTATTAATATAAAAATTATATTCATATTTCTATTCTTAAGTATGCAAATAAATCAGCACAATTACCAATAATTACTTTTTTGGTATATTTTGTTTCATACCACTCTTGAAATATTTATCAATATCTTAATATCAAAGATTTATAATAATATGTTTTTACCAATCAATTACAAGAAATTTAAAGTAACATCTTATAGCCTTTTGGGCTTATGGTTATATTTTTCAACTCTTACTAATTTGAGCATATGTCTTCACAAGACATTGTTTTGGGCATAATAAATATGTTTAATACTTTTCATAATATCTTTTGATCTTTTTGTTTCACAACCAATTTTAACATTCACCTTCAGTGGATTGGTACATATATTTGTCCATGTGACTTCTGATCATAGTATAACATTTGCTCATAATTGTTTTTTACTATAAAGGTATCATTATCTTCTTAATTACAATTCAATAGTCAAGACCAAAGATTATTGCACTTTAATTATTAATTCCACCGATACAACGTGGTTATATTCTTTATCATTCTTATTAACATGTTCCTTTCTTTCAATAGTACACAATTAATTCTTCCAAACATCGGGTTTCAGGACTATAACAAAGATATTTCAAATAAAACTCTTTTATATCATTTGATGTTTGGACCATTAGCCTTTAGGACTTTGATATTTGTCACCATGTAACCTTTAGAGATTTGATATTTGTCACCATTATTAGACCATAAAAAATGGCATAGATTTCTCTTTTCATGCTATTTAAAGGCACCCATAGTATTCTTTGACAGAAGAACCATTACAAAAGTGATATGACTTCTGGTCATCTAATCACATGATCAAAAGCATTATTGCTTCTAGCCATTCAATAAAATGAAATTAAAATAATATTATAATGAAATAAATTAAATAAATTCAAATTCATAATCAAATAAATCCAAATGTAAATAACATTATATAATCATATATATAATACTGTGATAGATATAAAACGACATAATATAAACCAAACATATATATGTAAACAAACAATCGAACAAGAAATATTGAAAAAATAAATAAAATAAATAACACAATATCACAATGGGGAGATAGCAGAATTAAAATGTATGCTTTGAAGATTTGAGGTATAAGTCTGTTGTAAATCAATATATTCTTATAGTATATGATAATACTTTTTACTAACTTCTCTTTGCTCAATTATTCTTTTTATCTTATTATCATGTGTAATTTTAATTTTCTATATATTTGCTTTATATTATGTTATTTTTTATGTTATTTATTAATTTGTTATGAAAAATAAGAAAAGTACCAAGATTGAGATGAGGGAGATGGAGAAAATAAGAGGAAATTGGAGGAGAAATTAAAGAGGAGTTCTTATTCACTTTATTATCTCAAATGTGTGTACATCATCTCCTATTTATAAGATCCCAATATTGAAGACTAACCTAAAGAGTTACAAGTACATAAATAAGGGAATTAAGCAACATAATTGTACAATTGGAGGCTATAGGAAATAAATACAAGAACCCTTCAATTTGGGAGTTATAAGATATAATGCTATTAACCATGAGAAGGAATCCCAAAAAGCTAAGGAGTTATGAACATCCACACAACATAATATTTATAAAATACACCAAGTAATTTAAAAATAATCCATATTTAGGATAGGAGGTACGTATTTGGTCCTTAGCATATGATCCAATTAACTAATTTAAGTAGATAAAAGATGTTAATTAAATTAGTTAATTATAAATGTTAAACAAGATATTTGCTTCTGGTCATAAATCTCTTAACTCATTTTGTCTTTTAAAATTATAATTTTTTAAAATATCATTGCCGATTTTGCGTAAATAGTAAGCGAATTTCCATTAAGAATAATTTTTTTGGGCCAACATTCTATCAAAAGTAATTGTGCCTTATAAATACATGACTAGAAAGGTATTCTAAGAAAACAAAGCATATTTCTTAAAAATAATTAACTTAATTTTTTTAAAAATAAAAAACAATTTTACTACTAACCAATGAAAAAAAAAAATCAAACCAGACCGGTCAATTTAACTGGAAAACTGGTGAACCGATCTGTGGTCCAGTCTGGTTTAAGTCCTAAACTGGCCCAGAATCAAACCGGCATAAACCGGGTAACCTGCCGGTTGAAGTGGGTTACCCGGTTTAATTTTTTTAATCTTTCACATTACAAAAACGATGTCGTGTAATTAATTAAAAAAAGAAATAGTCGAAGTCGAATGAAAGCCTCTCCCCAGTCATTCATTCAGTCATTCGATGTGTTCTCTTTTCCTCCCCAAATCTGAAATCCCTAGCATCTTAGCGGCAGCTTGTCATCTTCAATTATCAATCTTCACTTCGTTGCCCCAATCCTTCAATCGCTGGCCGGATATTTTTGCTTTATCACTGGCAATCTTCAACCTTCAATCTTCACGGTTGCAACTCGCAAGTCGCCTGTTCTGTTCTTTAATCCTAGTCACAAGTCGTCTTATTCTTCACGGTCATAGACTCAAAGATTCCACTTTCTCCTTCTACCTGTGAGATAACAAATCATCTCTGTGATTTTGGCGCTTTCAGGTGCCATTTTTGTAAGATTCCGGCAATAAGTATATGTTCTCACTCATGAGAGAGAATAATAGGCTTTGTTCTATGGATATATGGATTAGGTGCAGAATAGAAGTAGAGATAAGTTCGAATGAAGCAATAATTAAAGGAAAAGCCAATGAAGAAAATTTTAAGAGGTTTTCGCCATTATCCTTCAATTGAACAAATTCTTCAAGCACAAAAGTATCAGACTAGTTAGCATATCAATTAGCATGATATTTCCGATCTTTATTTTTAACTTTTTGAAATAGAGAATGTTTGTAAAAACTTGTTGAAGAACACAATATAACTCTACTAATTTCATTTTCACAAACCTTTGAAAGTGCAGTCCGATTATGGAAAGGGAGAAAACGAAAAACTC